TAACAAAGGAGTCCATCTTTCTTCATTTAGTGCTGATTTATTTTAACCACAAATAAAAATTACAAACATGGCCCGGGTTGCTCCCCCTTCCAGAGACACACACACAGGCTGCTGGAAAGTGGAGTCCCTGGCCACACAGAACCTAATATTTATAAGTTTTGGGTTAACCCCTTACCCAGATGTAGTCAGTCCGGAGACTCCATCTCTTATCTAGTGCTCCACATGCTTGGAGCAGCTGCATTTCTACCTAGTCATAACAAAATGAAGAATCTCAATGTGTGTATATGTTGTCACATGGTGTGTAGCTAAGGCATTCATTCATTCAGACATAATATTCTAACACAAGATTAATACAAGAAAACAATTGGTGTCATGGTTCACTTTTCAGAATCAACATTCTGTCTGCTAACCTTGAAAAAAACTGACTAGAGCAGACTTTAAATCTTACTAAATTGCATTACTAACACATTAATGTCTAAACAATTATCTAACTGACTTACTAATATCTAACAGCTGACTCATTGTTGTTGCCGATGAGGCCGATCACTGTGATGTTGTCTGAAAACTTGATGATGGTGTTGGAGGAATGCACAGGCCTGCAGTCGTGGGTGAAAAGGGAGTAGAGGAATGGGCTCAGCACACAGCCCTGTGGTACGCCAGTGTTGAGGATAATGGTGGAGGACCAGGTGTTGTCTGACTTAACATGCTGAGGCCTGTTGGTCAGAAAGTCCAGAATCCAGTTGCAAGGGGAGGTGCTGATGCCCATGTCACCAAGTTTGGTGGTTAACTTGTAGGGGATGACCGTGTTAAATGCTGAGCTAAGGTCCATGAACAGCATTCTTGCATAAGTGTTGTTGTCCAAATGGCTGAGTACAGAGTGCAGTGCTACGGAGACTGCATCCTCCGTGCTCCTATTCCTTCAGTAGGCAAATTGGTGGGGGTCCAGTGTGGGTGGGAGACAGGTCGTCAGGTGTGCCAGGACCAGGCGCTCGAAGCACTTCATGACAATGGGTGTGAGTGATTGGCAAGTACAGGGCGGTAGTCATTCAGGCACTTCGGGGTGGAGGTGGTTTTGAAGCATGTTGGCAGAACTGCTTGGGTGATGGGCTGGGTTAAAAACGTACGTAAAGACGCCAGCCAACTGTCCTGCACATTCCCTGAGCATGCGTCCAGGAATACCTTCAGGGCCAGCAGTTGATCTGGCTCAGAGAAGCATACACGTCAGTGGAGGTGAGTGTGAATGGCTGGTGGTCTGCGGACTTAATAGCTGTCTCCTTGTTGTCCCGATCTAGTTGAGCATAGAAGTTATTTAGCTCATTGAGGAAGGAGGCGTCTGTGGTTGCTGGGGAAAAGTTGCCAAGATTTTAGTCACTGATGACCTGGATGCCCTTCCACATACATCAAATACAGAGCAGTGTCCAGTGAGTAGGGTATGTGCAAATTAACAGATCACTTCAGTGTTACAGGTAACAAAAGTGTCCCAAAATGTCTTAATTGAGTTAGCTTAGTGGGACAGCTGAAGCTGTACTACAGAATGAGAGTTGTGAAATTTGTCTCATTTTTTTGCAGCATAGTGCTTCACTCTGCCTGCTAATCCAGAAATGGACAAAGAGGCAGAGTGTGAGTGGAGCCGAAGCGAGCGTAATGGGCAGAATGAAGCTAGCCACCAGTGGTGGGACCCTCCCACCTGTCACTCAAAGTGGCCACGCCCTTAATTAATCCACCCCCATTGCTCGCTCCGCTACAGCTTCTAGATTCTAGATAAATGTCACGAGGTCCTATCCCTGCGCTCATTGCACTGAAGGTGTGTGCTGTACGGGTGTCATAGAAAGGTTATGTGTGTTGCCAGAGGCTCTTCATAGTTCTTTCAGTCACAGTAATCGGTTGGGAGATACTCACGGTGCAGGAGTCAGGTGGGAAAAAATGGCCTGAGGGGGGATATGTATGTCCTTATATCTGTCTCTGACTCTTCTCTCTGCATTTCACACTTATATATATATAAATATTTAATAACATCTGAATGGACAATTTAAAATCTGCCTTAGGTTCATAACACATCTTGTGTTTACAATATTATTAGTATTTCACAACAAAGGGAAGATTTAAAAATGGCTGAAAACGATGCATGCATTGTACTTACAAACAGAAATAATTTGTGACAATGTCCAATACAAAGTTATAAACAATACTGGTATTAATTAGGGATGGGCAATGTTTTTTGAATATTTGAATAGTCATTAAATAAAAAAAAAAAAATCAAATATTTCATGCGAGTATGGTTTTGTCTTTAAAAACAAAGAGCCAGTGTTTTCACTTGATTTTACCAGCACCTGGAAATAACATGATAAAGTCAGTATATCATTTGACTACAGCGCCACATATAAACAGCAGAAACATGCAGAGACTACAGCCATCAAAAGGTTCTGTGTGGAATTTCTTCAAGAAAATAAATGAAAATAAGGTGCAGTGCAAACTCTTTCAGGTTAAGTTAGCACATCATAAATCGACAACAACTCTGCACAGCTGTTTGAAGGCGAGGCGTCTAGCAGTCAGTGGCTATAGCTTTGTCACCTGAAGAAGGAAGTTTGATGATTGACATGCAGAGCAAATAGCAGCCCTCATTACAAAGATAACACCAAAGGACATGCTATGCATTAGATTTGTCGAGGGGGAGTTTTCAAAGTTGGATGGCATTTATTTCCAATCAAGAAAAACAGTGCCGGGGAAATGATAATTGTTGAATAGCAGCAAATATTGAATGGTATTTTAGCTTAACATGCCCATCCCTAGTATTAATCCAAATTTCAAAATCAAATTGCTGGCATATTAAAACAACCACAAGGTGTCGTCCCAATTGATGAAGAAACATTTGCTCCCATACAGTGTAGGGCCATTGTCTTTCAGAATAGAAACACTCCACTTCTTTTTTTATTGGAGCCCTTCTATGATCGGTTTTCCCCTGGTTTAATAGGAGTGATGTTAGAGATACAGTACAAATCTCTCTGAAGACTACTGTAACTGTATCTAAAACTTCATGATTTTAAGTTTATTGCAACTTAGGTCTTATTTTTGTAGTTCTGGCTATCATTTCTACTGGATATACAGTAACAACTAAATGATCCAGTCCATGGATATCAGAAGCCACTAGTTTCAGTGCATGTCAGTCACACGTGATTTTGTAAACCATGTGCATAATGTGAAAGGTGTCGCTTGTACTAACAAAGCCACTGAAGATTACCAACCAGCTCCCCCCCTTTGCAAAACATTTTATCATCTTTTTTCAGTGTTTTTTCCTTTCAAGTCTAAAACTTTACTATGAATTGTGAAGTTTGTTTCTGCGGACTATTGTGGAAAGGCTCGCAACTCATTATGTGGCTGGGTCTGCAGTCACCCCTCCTGACTGCACACCAGCGTGTTGGCAGTCCTGTTGCCCTTCACAAACAGGGTTAAATGGCACATGCAAGCAATGGGAGGTTCCATCACACACAACATCAGATTAGCATCATAAACCACTGTTTACTGTCTTCACATGGGCCAGAGCTTCTGACACTGAGGATCTTAGGGTGTTGGCAACACAAGGGGAGAAAACAGGGAACCTGGGCACGACCCACCACTAGTTTCAGCAACATTCATATCAACATCAATAATGTTAGAATAAAGCAGGGAGAAATAACAAAGGAAGGTGAGCCATTCAGGAAGATGAGTTCACACTGAATAATTGTTAGTGGCCCCTTACCAGTGTGGGGTAATGATCAGTTCTAGCGACCAGGAATTGGTTTCTTTGATTACTTTAGGCAATTTACCTGTTAGCAATTCTCTTCATTTTTTTATGCTGACAAGATTATGACAAACTCTTAAAATCAATTGCATCTCTACAAATTTCTTTCTCTTTTTATTCCTTCAAGTACATGAGCATCCAAGCACCTCTCTCTCTTCTCCCTTTGTCTTTCCTTTCTCTCCTCTGGCTGCTGGTGCCTTGTTCAGATGTGGATCTGGATCTGCACCCTCCAGTCCCAGCCTCTACTTTGTCTTTTTCATTTTGTCTTTGTCTCTCCCTCATGATTTTTTTCCTTTTTTCCCATAGGTGTGAATGGTGTATTTGGATTTTGATTGCCTCTTCCCAGGTTTTTATAGTGGAGAAGATGTCAGACGTCCTATCTGTTTGGAACGCCTGGAAACTGTTCGACATTCTCTCAAATCATGCTCTTCATATTACAGTCTCTAATTTTGTCATCCCGATTGTCCAAACTGTAAATGTACTTTTTGCTCTATTCTGTACAACATTTACTGCATGTCTGTTGGTCCTGGAAGAGAGGCAGACAAACTGAGGTTTCTTCTGTTTTTCCCTTATTACATGTCTTTTGGGGGGAGTTTTTTCTTATCTAATTCAAGGTTCTAAGGACAGAGATCGTCTGTTGCTGCTGCTACAGATTGTAAAGCCCCTTAAGGCAAATTTGTGACTAGTGATATTGCGCTGTCTAAAACAAATTTGATTTGACTTGGCATATAATAAGAATGATGGCCCAAACAAGTTGTAATAAACCAGGAGACCCAGAATATCACTGAGAATCAGAAGCAGATTTAGAGATTGGCAATTATGTTGTCTTTATAGGAGATCAGCAGACTGCACTTTTGTCCAGGAAACAGACCAACTTCATGGCCACCACAACAACTGACAACAACTCTTATGCTTTTGTTTCCCCTGTTCTGACCACACCCTGTTGACAAAGTATGACAGTTAACATGCAGCAAATAAAACACTTTATGTTCCATCTTTCAAGCTGCTTTACACACTCTTGGAACAAATCCCTCTTAATTTACATCTTTACATGAAGAGTTCTGTAACGGTGTCACTCACCGAAGTAAAACTAAAACTTACACTAAGAACTTCCCCGCTGTTCATGCCTGCTCTGGCTGTCAGAGCTTTTAGGCAACATAGTGTATAACCAATACATGAGGAGTTTCAGTGTTCAACAACAGCAGGCATGTTTTGCTGCCCTCACTGTCATTTAATTCTGTAACTCCACCTGTTTAACTCTGACTGGATCATTGACAGCTGACAGCTCACATACACTAAATCACCAGTTACAACTTCAAGCAATCACCTAAAAACAAATCAAATTTGGTCCACAAACAGCAATTTACTAAAAAAGCTTAATAGTGTCAGTAATAACTCAAAATGATGAAAGAACAGTAGTAGTTCAGTTGGAATGTAAAGTAGTTTTTGTTGTGAAAACAAGAGGAAGTAAGAAGTGGGGATTAGCCTTTGCAACAGTCTTAGCACAGTATAGCCTAGTTCAATCTAATGACTCACAGGTTTGAGTAATGGCTTATAGCTGCTGTTACTACTGTAGTCGCTTGTTAGTCGCACCTCGTATTGTGTGTTTTATGTAAGGCTCTACTTTTGTGTGTGGGTGTGTGTGTGTGTGGTCATGGTGATGTTGGTGTCTTCAGGGAATTGGTAGATCCTCCATGGCTTCCACTCCCGGTTGCTCCCTGTCCGACCCACTGCACCACAAAAAAAAAAGGGGGTGGGGGGGGGGTCCATTTAGTTACAGACAGAAGTGACACAAATGTCTAGAAGGTACTTCCAAAATTTTGAATTGAAGACAACCCGACCTAAGCTTTGTGCTAAAGGTTGAGCTGATTGTTGGTGTCATTAGAATCAAACAAAATCAATCCCTAGGAGTGAAAAGTGTGCTTTTATAATGTAATGTATGTATTTGTTAAGTTGATAATTTTGGCCTGCAGCACTAGAAAGTCTATATGGTGATCAAACATTCCATTCTCTGGAGTCAAGGCTGGATTAATTACTCGGAAAGCAAGTAAATGTCCCAGGGCCAGAGGCCCTCTAAAGCTAGGGCTTCACTACAAGTCAATTAGTTGCACATAATTTGGCAAGAAATGTGTAAAACTGAAAGCTACACTAATGAGTAATCTTATATTAACAGTGGTTCAGATGGCGAGTTATCATCAAACTCTGCTGTACTTTGGAGCCTCTTAACATCTTTCAGCTCAGTTTTGGTTTTACACTTAACAGCTTTACTGTTTTGTTTCATTCTCACCACTTTCATGAACCTCATTCTCAGCTGCAGCAGGTAGTCGTTTTTAGAGAAAAAAAACACCAAACAGGAGACAAAGTTGGCTATGTGGAGTTTATAGCCTATTCCATTCTCTCCAAGTGGCCAAAAAAACAATTAATGCAACTTTAAGCAAAATATGAACTTAAACACCTCTGCATTATAATCTGTTTTGGTATGGGGGAAATCACACAGAAGCAGAATTAATAAAACCAAGGTAATGAGACAAAGTGAGGCTTGCTTGACCTAATTTATTAAGTGCATCCTGGCTTAATATGTTTCATGAAGGCTTAACCAGGTTGAGGACATGCAGCTAGGTCAAGCCAGGTTTAAGTAATTTGGATGGATGGATGGATGAATGCACCTTCTCAACTTCCTTCAACAGATTCACTGATGCTCACATAGAAGCTGCGTTCCATCTGGCTGTGCCAGTATGCTGCATGTTAAGTAGTGTTGTTAAAATGATCGGACTCCACTCCAAACAGGCACAAACGGCACCATGCTGACCGGGTTTGCAAGCACAGACATTGAAGTTGTGCGACATATTTCAGACCCACTAACGATGCCCACTCAAAAATGCTTATGGGGAATTCAAGGACATAATCTGTAAAACCAGAAACAAGGCTGCTGTAAGAAAACAGTGAGAACAAACATGGCAGGCGTTAGTGGACTGATTGAGTGCGTTAAGTCACCTAAAACATACATTTACTAGCTTGTTCTTAACTGAAACCATTATTATTGCAGACACAGTCTTTATGTATTCAACATAGCCAATTTATTATACAGGATGGGTGAAAAGTAACTAGGCATTAAAAATTGGCTATAGAACTTGTAGTATCACTGAAGTCATGATGAAAACAGTCTCTAAATAAACGATAAATAGGAAATTCCCCACTTGCCCCCCACTTTGGGGTGGTCTTATTCCTTCCTTCAAGCTCGGGTCCTCTACCAGAGGCCTAGGAGCTTGAGTGTTCTGTGCAGCATTGCAATCTTCTGGACAGAAATCTCAGATCCCCAAGTCCCACAAGATCTTAGCTTGGTCATGAGGGTCCTGCACAGTATCTTAGCTGTTCCTAGGACTGCACTCTTCTGGACAGAGATCTCAGATGTTGTTCCTGGGATCTGTTGGAGCCACTCTCCCAGTTTGGGGGTCACAGCCCCCAGTGTTCCTATTACCATGGGGACCACTTGTGCCTTCACCTTCCATATCTTTTCTAGCTCCTCTTTCAGCCCTTGGTATTTCTCGAGCTTCTCGTGTTCCTTCTTCTTGATGTTGCTATCACTTGGGATTACTACATCTATCACTACGGGCTTCTTCTTCTGTTTGTCCACCACTACTATGTCCGGTTGATTGGCCATTACCAGTTTGTATCTGGAAGTCCCACATGATCTTAGCTTGGTCACCTTTGGAGGTGTATCCCATTTTGACTTTGGGACTTCCAGCCTGTACTCAGCACAGATGTTTCTGTTTGTGCAGCTGCTGCACAAACGCATGGCCCAACACAGGAGGGCCAACTACAATGGGACAGAGTTACCAGGTGACCTCCACCTGAAGGACAAAGGACATTCTTCTGAGGACAGTGAAGTCCAGATCCTCTCCAGAGAACATCAGTGGTTTGAGAGAGGAGTCAAGGAAGCTATTTTTGTCCAAAGAGAATACCCCTAACTAAATAGGGGTGGTGGACGAAGTCACAACTTGTCATCCATCTACAACTCTGTTTTGAGATCTCTGCCCAAACATGCCCACCTGGATAATAGGCGTCGTTCCACAGGTGAGGGTTCAAAGACAGGTAACGACGCTGGACTATAATGGCTCAGTCATTAGAGGACATTGTTGGCCATCAAAGGACTGAAACATCATCGATGGGGATAAATATGTCCAACTCAACACCAGTCGGGCAGAACTTATGAAGCCTTTAGAACAAGAAGTGAAACGTCTTCAACCTAAAAAACTAATCCAGTTGATTTTTTCAAGTTTTTTTCAACCAGTAGCTGGTGCTTTGCTCCTCTGGTTTTACTACCAATTCCTTTCTGGGCCCTGCTCAGGTATTGAACCATGTGCCTGCCCATCTTAGCTGCTATGATGCCTGACAGGAGCTTCCATGTTGTGCAGAGGCAGGTTATTGGGTGGTAGTTGAATGGTACTGCTCCCTTCTGAGGGTCCTTAAGGATCAGGACTGTCCGGCCTTCAGTTAGCCACACAGGGTGGGTTCCATCCATTAGTAGCTGGTTCATTTGTCCCACCAGGCGCTTATGGAGTGAAGTTAGCTTCTTTAACCAGTAGGCATGGATCATGTCAGGGCCTGGTGCTCTTCATACTTGAGACCTTCTCTTGAATGTCTGCCATTGTGATGATTACTGGGTCTTGTTCAGGGAGGCTGCTGTGGTGATCTCAGGTCCACCAGCCACCG